ATAGTAAACTATTCTACTTCTGCAAATTGAAACTTGAATGGATTGCATTACTTCAACCAAAAGACAACCAAAAACAAATACTAACTTCACAGGGTTAAAGAATAAACAGTTAAATAGTATTGGCAGCAACCGAATGAATTTACTAAGCAATCTAAGTGAAATTACGAGTAAATTTATCATCAAGTTAAATATGAAAAATATTAAACTTACCTCGTTACGTAGAGTATGAACCTCGTTCTGCAACGATGCTACAATCTCACGTAGAGCTGCTACCTCACCACGTAAAGTAGACACCTCAACACGCCATGCACCATTGTCATCGCGTAAAGTATCGACCTCCTCACGCAAGGCATTGACCTCATTACGTAAATCCCCTAACTCATCCCGTGGAGGTGGAGGTGGAGAACAGGGAGATAAACGTCGTGGCAACTTTGCCAGTCGCCAATCATGAGGTGATGGTGGAGAAGAGGCTCGATGATGTGACAGAATAGGTGATGACTCTCGTTGTGGAGGTGTATATTCAGGTCGATTAGGTGATGGTTCTAGGTGAGGTGATGGCTCTCAAAGTGGTGGCTGCTCATCATCCGTGCCATCAAAAAAAAACTTACTAGCTTTCCACCAATCAGTGGCAAGCTCAGCTTCCGTGGGTGTCAGCCTCTGTAATGGAGTGTTGGCCTCCTAACAATATAAAAGCTCAAATAAAGTTAAACGTGTACTAGTAATAACTTGTTTATAAACATATGGTAGTATTTGTGTTAACTTACATTATTTATTGTAGTATACGGTAGTAAATCTTCCCATTGCTGCAAGGACCGTTTCCTCTTCCAGGAAATAGCCCTAGGAATATCGTTAGAAGTTTTTAATGCATATGTCTGCATGGCGGGAAAGGCCTCAAATATCCAAATCTACAAACAATATAATAACAAAAATTAGTAATTGTTAAAGAATTAATTATAATTTTGGAAACATTATATAAAAATTATTACCTTAAAGGCCCAAATAAAGCCTGACAAAGTGTATTTGGAACCATCGCCACGCAAACTTTTTCGATCATTAAAGGCAGACGACAACTTATTCCATGTAGCTCTCCATAGATACGAACCCCATGGAAACAGGTTTCATGCATTTAGGTCCTCTACCAATTTAATTAGATCATTAGGAATAGGTTGTCGGGCCTCTCTGCCTAAAAAGTCGGCTTGCAAAAGTATTAGAAGGCATACTCGGACAACATCGACGTCATCCATCCGAGTAAAACCATCTTTCTTATTCAATAATCTCGTCAAGTCTTCCACGTGTAAATTCGACTTCTCCGTTGACTTCTCAGGAAAAACCCGGGAAAACCATGATAGGTGGGTAATATGTCTAGTGTACCGATCTACATCATCGTGTCCGAAGCGTAGACCGGTGATTAAGCAAAACTCCTCCCGCCCAAAACACGTATAAGCCGGTGGAAAATCAAGCCATATCTCTTCATCACGACGTTGTATAGTCTCTGGTAGATCGCTAGTCATGGTTTGAAGAAACAGATGGGTCAACATAGCATCTCCACCCGGATGTTGTACTTTCAGCCATGGCCCGAAGCAAGTATCCTCAAATATTTTTCTTTGTGCAGGTGAAAGCTTTGACGCAATTATTTTGGCCAGGCTTACTTTATTTCTTAAGGTCAATTGAGCCGAATAAAAGTTCTGCAAAAACAATAAACATACCAATTTAGATATACCAAAAACTACACTGTGAAGATATGAACAATAAACATAAAGAGTAGTAGTTTATTCTTCAAACTTAAATTTGCAACACTGTGAATTTAGTATTTGTTTTTTGGTTGAAGTAATGCAATTCATTCAAGTTTCAATTTGCATAAGAAGAATAGTTTCTGAAACTTTAAATCGCAACACGAAAATGAAAATCGCAACACGAAAATGACTATCGCAACGCGAATTTGACTATCACAACGCAAGAATCGCAACGCGAAATGAAAATCGCATTGCGATTCTCTCGTTGCGATAGTCAAATTCGCATTGCGATAGTCATTTTCGCGTTGCGATTCACTCGTTGCGATAGTCATTCTCGGTTTCAAATACTAAAATTGAAAGAAACTTGAATGGATTGCATTACTTCAACCAAAAGACAAAACAAAGACAAATACTAACTTCACAGGGTTAAAGACTAAACAGTTTAGCAGTATTGGCAGCAATCGAATGAATATAATAAACAATCTAAGTGAAATGGTTAATCTATTATTGAAAACACCAGTAAACTTATCATCAATTTCAATATGAAAAACCTAATAATAATGCAAAAATTTCAAAATAAAAATAATTAAAAAAACTAACCCTCGGTGGTTGATTTGGTTTATTTTCCATTTCTGACCGTGAATGATTTCGCCGGAGATGGAGACTGTTATCGTCGTGGGGACTGATTTCGTCGGAGATGGGGACGGATGTCGCCTTAGAGAGTGAGAGATGGAGATGAGACTGAGTTGTGATTTAGGGTTTTAGGTTATGAGTTGCGATTACGGGATATACTGTGGACGGTTCAGTGTTCCGATATATTAATATATTCGTGTTTGGAATTTGAAAAAAAAATACGCGTTAATACGAATGGCGCTATGTAAATCGCATTGCGATAGTCAGATTCGCATTGCGATTTCCGTATTCGCATTGCGATTTACGTAATCGCATTGCGATTTAGGAAAATCGCAACGCGAATTTGGAAAATCGCAATGCGATAGTCAGAATCACGTTACGAATCTGGAAACTGATTTGCGATACCGGAGATCGCGTTGCGAATTATCGATCGCATTGCGATTTAGTTGGTCATTTTGGCAAATCCAAAAAAAGTTAGTTAAAATCGTATATTATAAGACATTTTTTGTCACTGAAGTTATTTTCTCCCTTTTATATATTAAAGCCTAAAAAAATCAATATAGATAACATCCATACGAAATATAGATAACATCCGTACGGAATTACGATCAAATGTTGAAGGGATAAACTTATTTTATATATATATATATATATAAAGAGAATTTGTTCAGTATCTAAGTTTAAAATTTGAGAGAGACACAGATCTTATTTAATTAATATTTAAACTAAACATGACCTAAAATACTGATATACAAAAAATTTGGAGGGCTGCAATAGCCCCTATTATATAGCTTCATCCCCGGATAACATGAGATAAATCGAGCTCTTTTGTTTCTTGTTATTATTGGCTATCCATATAATATATTCTTTCTTGTTCCTTTAAATTTATCTCTTTAGATTGTAAAATTGTTTTATTCAAAATTTCATATTAAAAATATAAAATATAAGACAATTAATATCTTAAAACTTTATAAAAATATTAACAAACTACTTGTAAATTTATTCAGTCGAGTAACACCATGCTTAACTTGATTCGTTAAAGTCTCAAGACGAATTCGAATTAATTCAACTTGAATTTAACATTAATCGAGTCGAACTTGAACTACTAACGAGATACTCAACTCAACTAACATCCAGAGATTTAAATAACGCCCGCTATATAGTAATAGCGGTGCTGTCCGAAATTGTTATTGTATGATTACGAAACTCGTAATCACCGCAATATCAATATTTGCAATCAAAATAAACGTAACACAATCGAAAACACGATCGCAACCATAATTTAAATTAGGTGAAATTTATAACTTAGGACGAACGCAAAATTTTATGTTAGGAGGTGGACTTATAATATTTTAATGAGAGGAAAGCCTATTAAATTTTAGAGGGGACAAAAACATATTTTCAATAGAAAATATAAAAAAAAATCTAAAACATAAAAAAATTACAAATTGTTAGGGGCTCCCCGCCCTCATCTACCCCGCCAAGGTCTATCCCTGCTTATAAGCACAAAATATGATGCAAAAGAATGGAGTGAGGGGTGGATAGAGGCAATTGTCCTCATGAAAATTTAAAATTATTATATATTTTAGATTTTTTTTTATGTATTTTTATTGAAAATATGTTTTTGCCCCTATAAAATTTAATAAGTTTAAGTTCATCCTTTAAAATTTTATAAGTTCAAATTTGTCCCCCAACTAAAAGTGATACCTCGTCCCTGGCGATACATGTATGTATGGTACAATTACATGTACTACATATGTCAAACAAGGACTTCTAAACAGATTCTCCAAGGCTGCCTTATGGAACCGACCGTCATTCAGCTTTGTTGATATCACACGTTGACTCTCTAAAACCAGATGTTTGGTTTCAGGATAATTTTCGGAGTTTGATCTTGAAACTTAAACTTGTTATGTTTTAGCTCTTATTAAGGTAAGAAACTTGACTTTCTGAATCTATATTGATATGGATTGAATATATGGCATATTTTTCCATGTAAAATCCCCCCCCCCCCCATAATGGCGCGAATTCCCCTTTTATGATGCAGAAATGGGCATTAAAATGTGGAAATGGTAGACAACAAGTGGTAGAGAGAGACAACGAAAAAATGTAAAAAACTAAAAAAAAAATTAACCAAAGAAAATGAATCAAGGGTGTCAATGAGACAACAAAAGAAAGAGAGAGAATAAATCAATAAAAGAAAAAAAAAACAGAGGGCCAAAATTCCTGCTTTGTAGGAAATCAACGAGGGGAGGCAACGACAGGGCCCCCTTTGTAGAGTTATGGCAAATTTACCCAAATATTCTCTATCTTTCCTTTGAACCCTTGTTTCTTCTTCCTTCAGGTACCTCTTTTCTCTTCTCTCTTTCATATTTTTTTCAATTTTTGTTCTATTTCTGCAGAGACATTCATAAAAGAAGTGTAACGTAACGTTGTAAGATCAAATTAATGAGTTTCATCATAAAATATCAGTGCTGTAACATTTACATTGTGTATTCGATCAAGGTTGTGTTACAAATTGGATGAAGCTTTAACATGTAGTTTGTGTTGATCAACATTTTCCTGGAATTTTTGGTCAGGGTTCTTCAGTTGTTGGAGGCAGGGAAATAAGGGAGTGGGTGGAGTTTCTTGGCTGGTAAGCTAACGTAAAAATGGCACCATCCCCTAAGAAATCTCCTTCTGAAGAATCCCCACCTGCTCCATCAGGATCAAATTCATCACAAGATACCTCTTCTCCATCCGAAAACTCGCCACCACCTTCACAATCATCGCCACCGCCTCCCAAAAAATCATCTCAAAGCAAAAAAGATAATAATCATTCCTCTCCTCCTCCAAAGCATAAAAGTAGCAACATTCATTCCCCTACCCAGTCTTCTAATTCCCACAAAACTAATGGTAACAATCAAGTTGGTTCTTCTGGAAAAACATCATCTTCTGACTCATCCGGCAACGACATAGATACAATAATTTTTATTGGAGCAGGTTTGGCAGTAGGATTGGTGCTCCTTTTTATCATCTGCTGTATAGTATGTTGCTGTCGTAAGAGAAAGAAGAAAGCCCGTCAAGTGATGAACTATGATGAGCATAAAGGTACTTCCTGACATTCATGAAACTATGGAAATGAAAGCTAGTAGAAACTCAATATGCATGATATACTAGTAAATTTATATTCTGTTGAATTTTTTATGAATCTAGTTTTGATATAAAATTTATGATTTGAGAACTGATAATTAGTCATTTGTATTGCATGTTCAACACATCGCTGGTGGGAAAGAGTATTATAACTATCAGACTTCGCCTTGGGTAACTAATGGGAAAGCACCAGATCATGGTGTGCATGTACCACCACCGTCAGGAGGTGGTAGCGGTGTCAGCAGCGGCTGGGGTTCACAAGTACCGCTGCGAGAACAGATTTATAGCGGTGAAGCGAGCTCACAGTTCTCAGGCCCACACCATCCTCCTCCTTTTCCACCTCCATCACCAAATATCTCACTTGGATTCAATAAGAGCACTTTCACTTATGAGGAGCTGATTGCTTCTACAAATGGATTTTCTCAGGCCAATCTGATTGGTCAGGGTGGGTTCGGATATGTGTACAAGGGCGTCTTACCAACTGGAAAGGAGGTTGCAGTTAAGAGTTTAAAAACTGGTAGTGGACAAGGAGAGAGAGAATTCCAAGCTGAAGTTGAAATAATTAGCCGTGTTCACCATCGCCATCTTGTGTCATTAGTTGGATATTGCATTGCCGGCGGGCAGCGGATGTTGGTGTATGACTTTGTTCCCAATAAAACCTTGGAATATCATCTCCATGGTAAACTATTCTTCATCCTTTTTTTGGTATTTGCATATATATGGAAGCATTACCAACTTCTCAATGCAGGAAAGGATCGCCTTGTCTTGGATTTTCCCACTAGACTTCGGATTGCGTTAGGCTCTGCTAAAGGGCTTGCTTATCTGCATGAAGATTGTAAGTAGCTCCTTGTCTCCTTTTCTGATCTCTCTGGCACTCCATTATACCACAAGCGTTTCATTTCATTATTGGATTATGAATGCAGGCAATCCACGCATTATTCATCGTGATATCAAAGCGGCTAATATTCTACTTGATAACAACTTCGAGGCCATGGTATCTTCTCTTACAATTAAATCAGTGTCTGTTCTACGCCATTGAACTCCAAGCGAGCAATGATGAAGTTTTTATTCTAAGCTTGGGAGATCTATGTGTCTGAATTTATAGGTTGCTGATTTTGGGTTGGCTAAGTTGTCATCTGATAACTACACTCATGTCTCGACACGGGTGATGGGAACATTTGGGTAAGGACTGAATCCACAAGCAGAAATTAAGAGCTAGTGAGTTTGAGGAGGAGAAATATTGATTCATGCATCGTGTCATACTCATACAAGGATACTGGAAATTGGAATCCTCCAATGGTTTTGATTTCTTTTGATTGAGTGTAGGTACATGGCTCCGGAGTATGCCTCATGCGGCAAGTTAACAGATAGATCCGATGTTTTCTCATTTGGCGTGATGCTTTTAGAACTCGTAACTGGAAAGCAACCAGTTGACGATACAATGGACGACAGCTTAGTAGATTGGGTCCGTACCTCTTTCCCCTCTATATGTATTCTTGCATTTACATTTATTGTTATACCTCTATTATGCTTCCGGAGATGTTTCTCCACCAGAAATTGCCAGTAACAACTCCTCGTCTTGTTGCTCTGGAAATTCTCACCAAGGGTGAAGTCCCCATCCATCAATTAACCTAACAAAAGACGGTCGGCAAGCTCGAAAAATCTGTCACTTTCGAATCCATTGTCAAACGGTCACATTCATATGTCCTTTCAATATATAAATAACCATAATAACTTTAGGTCTAACATCAATATCAGGGGCAATATATAAGCCCCATACAAGACTAAGAAGGGGACTTTCACATTATTCATTGTCTTCAATACGTCTTATAAAGAATCAAATATCGATCACCGTCAGAATAAAAATCAATTACAACTCTTCTCTCAAACCATAAAGAATGGATGTACTTTACTGATAACCGTTCGAATAACAATGGATCACCCTTAACACACGTTATAGTCATCAACATAATTAAATTTGATGCATTAATATTAACGGATCTTATCAATATGATTTAGCAAAAGTGGAGAATAAATAATTACTTTATAGCATATAAAATTGCATATTAATTGATGTACTTTATGAACAGGCTCGACCACTTTTGTCTCGTGCACTGGAAGATGGCAACTTTAATGAGCTGGTTGATCCGCGCCTGGAGATGAACTACAACCATAACGAAATGCAACGCATGATAGCCTGCGCTGCTGCAAGCATCCGACATTCCGCAAGAAAGCGCCCCAAGATGAGCCAGGTTTCCAATGATCTCCAAACTTCGATGACTTGATTTGTTTTTATATATAGGATAAATTACTCAAATGACCACTTAACTATGGGATTAGTGTCAATATAATCACCATATTTTCAATTTTGGGAATATAACCACATAACTATTTAAGTGATTTCAATGTAGTTACCTGGTGTTACAAAACAAACGGAGTAGCTGATGTAGACCTTTGGCTCGTTGTTAATCAATAAAAGTCACATCAGCTACATCGTTTGTTTTGTAATAACAGGTGGCTATATTGAAACCACTTAAATAGTTATGTGATCATATTGACAAAATTAAAAGTATGATCAACACCAACCCCAGAATTAAGTGGTTAATTAGCCAAATATATATATGTTATGTATGGTAAAAGGATTATGGAAAGCAGATAGTGCGTATCCTGGAAGGAGACTGTTCCCTGGATGACCTGAACGAGGGAACAAAGCCAGGGCAAAGCACAATTTTCGGAGCCAGTGGAGAGTACAGCAGCAGTGCATACAATGCTGACATGCAGAGGTTCAGACAATTGGCACTTGGGAGCCAAGAGTTCTCCAGCAGCGAATACGGAACTTCCAGTGGCGAGAACTCGAGAGAGGTGGGACCTGGAGACAAGCGAAAGAACAACACCTGAGCTGCCCGATCCAAACCAAAAGTTTTAATTTTGAATGCCAAAACAGAGCAATACAGTGATTTGTCTGCAGATTAATGTTGATCAGATCAAACGCTATATCCATTCCAGGTCATTTTACACCGTGAAATCGGATTCTTTTGAAATTCAAGTGTTTTGTCTACAATTCTCAGAATCTATATATCCTTTAATGCCTTAGGCTTTGGCTTGATCAAGTATAGCAGAAGATGTAGCTTCTGTTATTTGTGTGTGTTCATTGTATTCTACATGATAAGAAGAATAAAAATGATAATAATATATGGTCTATAATCAATATCAAGCTTTTTCTAAAATTAATTACAATACCTCTCTCTCTTTGAAATGGGAGACTACAAAGGCAAAACCACGCCGCCAGTCAGGCCAGAGTTCATAGCTGTGCCAACAGAGAAAAACAGACGGGCAAATGGGACAGTGATCCCCTACAAATTTAAAATTATCGTATATTTTAGATTATTTTATGTATTTTTTATTGAAAATCTATTTTAGTACACTAAAATTTTATAAGTCAGTCCAATTTTAGAAGCTTGTCTCATCACCGCTTAATATAAAATCCCCAACATTCAAACAGTTCAAGGTCTGTAATCTTATTGTATTGGATATTTCTATGCAAACAGCAATAGTTTTTCGCGGCATGCAAGCCTTCATTGGAAGGGAAGTTTGAAATCTTTTTGCTATTCAATGGCTTTCCACCTTCGGTAAATATTTGATTTATTGTCGAAATGATTTTTAGCATCTCCGTTGAGATGTTTCTTGTTGTTTTTAGTGATGATATTTTTCAAATTTTGAATAAAATTATTTTAAATATTTAAATAAACTAATTTTATTGAATATATTTAAAAATACTTGATGAAAGGCTTTATATATTTCTTAAATAATAAATTATTTTTAAAATTTTCAAAATATTTACTACGTGATGCTTAATTGTACAAAAAACTGGATTTTTTTTCTAAAAAAAATATTTAAAATTTTAAAAAAAATATTATTGTTGACTTAAAATTATAGTTTTAAAAAAGTCAAGCAAGAAAAAACTCTAAGAAAATTCTCTTTAGTGCCGCTTGTCTTGTTTCTTTCTTTCATTCTTTGATTTGCAGACAATTGTACTAATTTTTTTCTTTATTTGTTCATATCATATATTTATTTTTTTTTATTTTTTTAATTTATGATAGTTTGTCTTTATGATACAATATTTTTTGTCTTTATGGTAGATTTTCTTCTGTCTTTTAGTACGCTTTTGGTTTTCTCTAACTATCTTTTGGCCCTTTTTGTTTAATTTCAAGGTTTGATCTAACGACATCTCAATTGATCAAGATGACGTTTATTTGTTATCGTGTTGATTTTCTCTACATTGGACTCTCATATTGAATTTAGATAAGTGATTTACATTTGAAAATAGTTTTTTCACGATATTGACTCTGATTTACGATTATTAGTTGTCTTTCATATTTTTAATCCCACGTTTCAACACCCTAATTTAGGGGACTAAATTTTAGAAATTATAAAGTCGTGAATTTAATTGGTATTTTGGAAGAAATTAAGGATTAAATTGAAAATTTTCAAAGTTTGAAGACCATTTTAAGAAATACAGGAAATTCAGTTACTAAGCTCATGATTTACCCATTTTTATGGGATGAATTATAAACCCCTTCCTTGATTGTTTATGTGTATTCTTCCCAGTTTCCCTCTCCCGATAACCCCTTTTTGAACTCCGATCTATTCACCGTCCGACCTTCGATCGACGAACCGAAACCACCATCGTGTTTGTTGTCGACCGATGAACAAAACCCTCAAACCTTTCGTCGTGAATCGTCGTCGTTCGTCGTTAATTTCAGTCGGAAGTATAGTCGGTATTAACTCGATTTCAGTTAGTTTTTCGTCGATTCATGACGATCCGACCATCCGTTTTCGACACCTCCCGCACCATCGTATTTCTTGCATCGTTCTGAGTCCGCTGGTGTCCTCTGTTTCTCCGTCGTCGCCGGCACGTGGAGGGGTGAAAAAATCAAAAAAATTTATGTTTCGGAATCGAGCTCTCCACCGTTCAAAATTGTGAACCGAGCTCGGTAAGTGTCTCAAAACGCATTAAAATAATTATTAGGAATTTTTTCGGGAATTTTCTGACATTGTATCACTGTTCACGCACCGCACGGGTGTTAATTTTGTAATTAATTTATGTTAAGGTGATATTTGTGTAAAATTCAGGTTTTAGTTTTGTAAATATTTATAAAATGTAGCTAATTTTGTAATTCATTTTTGTTAGGGTGATATTTTTGTAAAATGGCGTTGATCGTTGACCGGCGTTGACTACTGTTGACCAGAACTTTGACTGGCGTTAAACAACCTTTGACTTTGACCGGATATACCTATCATGACTTATTTCGATGTTCTGAGTCCGATTACGCAGTCCATTTTTCGAAATTCGGACCCGAAGGCCTCGAAATTGCCAGTTAAACCCGTTGACTTTGACTTTGACCGAAAAGTTAAAATTTTTGAAAAGTCATATTTTATGTTTTGACGTCTCGAATCTATTTTGGGGTTCGTTTCGCCAAACTCGAACTCAGTAAGTTGTTTTTGATTGATTTATCACCCGATTCGATCTGTTTTTTTTTTTTTTGAATTAAGCTCCATTTTGATGTAATTTCTGTTGATATGGATTCGAGGAAATATTGGAAGTTGAATTAAAGATCAAAGGCGTTCGAATGGAATTTATATGGTCGATCAGTATGACTCAAAAATCGAGGTAATACTTTACTACCTCTTTATGCTTTTATGAAACATGTGAATATTGGTAAATGCATGATTAAGATAACGTTGGTCTCATTTTTGTAGTTAATTAATTTCTACACTCGATCTGAATACGGTAAAAAGGTTCAGTAATTGATTATGGTTCAGATGACTTTTATAAGAAATTGATGGATTGTTAGAATTAAATTACAAGTTCTGTGCTCAGTGATAAAGAAATCAACCTGGATCTGTAACTTATAATTTATTTCATCAAAGGTTAAATGTTAAAGATACTTGGATGAGAAATTATGAAAATGCTTCGGTAGGGTAAAATTACGAAAATACCCTTATGTTATAAAAAGAAAATATTTGACTATGGAAGTTTGATAAGAGGTTTTTAAAGACATATTGATATGATGAAACTACTGATGTGCATAAGAAATGCTAGTTTTGCTTAGAAAATATAGATAATCGTTTTTAACCCAAGAGGATTTGAGCAAGAATCTAGGAGTCTGTTAAGGGAATCATTTCAAGATCAGAAAATGTTCGGGAAAGCAATTAATCATAGGATCTCTAAATTATATTATTTGGTTTAGAGTTAATACCGAAATTATCTGGTTAAGAAATTACAAAAATGCCCTTAAGAGGTAAAATAGTCTGAGTTGACCTTGAATGAGAAAGTACTTTGAGGATTCATACTTAACTCGATTAAGTATAGATTTAATTGTTAAGATCCTATCTTTGTACAGAAAAAATCATGATATTTCGTTTGTAAAATCTGAGAAGGCACTTGACCCGAAAATATCTGAGTTATGAGTAAAAACCTGAAGAATAATTTATCGGGGGTGTTCTTTTGACATGATTGTTCAAAATGACTGAAATAAGTGATAATTTTGAATTCGATAATAAGATTGGACGTAAGGAAATGATTGTAATACACTAGATTTGTAAAATGACCAGAATACCCTTTGAATGCAAATGACCAAGAATATCACCAAGCTTAGGAATGGTTGGATATCCTCGAGCTCTTAAATGAATAGAATATAAATGAGCACTAAAATGACCAAAATACCCTTATGGCCTAGAATAAGTAAATGTCTTGGATTAATTTAGAAATCCAAATAAACATGGATGTTGTACTGCTCTTAAAAGTTATGGAACGCAGCTTAAGCCGTCAACCAATACTAGTGCTATATCATTATCTGAATGATATAAGTATCACTTGAATGTTGGTTCGTCTTATTAAGTTTGGATTGATGATAATTTTGGAAGTAACCAGCTCAGCTCAACTTTGGATCGCATTCGATACTCAAAAGTGGATATTCGTTAGACAAATCAACCTAGAAGACCAAATTGAACTGAACGGAAGTACAATACTTATCCGAAATTCAGAAACATCCGAATTACTCTGAAAAACTCTGAAGTAACTGGAATACACTTGACTGCTAAATAAATTAAGTAACCTCAAGGACTGAGGATTAAATAAGTGATTTGAATGGGTCTTGAAACATTAATGAACATACATAATGTAATGTTCTTATAGGACATGTACTACAAATCAAGCACGTCAGCATTTCATGATATCGTGGAAGCGTGGAAATGAAATAAAGAGCATTGAAATATATGTTAGTTTCCTTAAGATATATTCAGCGATGATTCTGAAGATAATCTATAGATAAGAATTTTTTGTATTAAAAAGTAAATACCCTGGAAGGATAATGTATTTACCAATCGACAAATATTAATTCTGGGAGATATTCATCTAGAGTTGTTTGATAATGAAATCAATGGACATAGACTGTAAATGTCCTGAACCTTCATTTCTTCCCTATCAGCGTAAATTTCATTTTGAATCACTGATGATTCCATCAGTTATTGATCTCTTCCAATAGTGATTCTAAATTCCAACATTCTATCGACATACTAAAGATCTGTATTTTTCTACTTGATAAGATTATTCAGTACCTTTGAATAATATCTGTAAACTATGGTGTGTTCCCCAATCATATAAATATTTTATCTGATTTCTGACTTTAATTCTATTCTGATATATTACCTGAATTCTTTTCTGATTTCTGATATGGATTCTGTTCTGATATCTAATCTGAATTCTGTTTTGATTTCTGATATCTCCGTTTACCGACGGAAAAATGTTTTATCTGGGGGGTTTATTGTTAGAGGAAGATTATCTGCAGACTCTTTGGCTTTCTGCTCAGGGTCTAAATGGCATGTGCGGTTGGGTGTATGGTTCTAGGGAACCTACA